TTGTTGGTTTTCAAATTTTATCTATCCTACATGTCAAAATAGTGTCTTTTATTGGTTAACGAATTTCCTTTTTTATAACAATATTTTGATTAAAGAAAACGTAGGACTTAAATGCAATTTTTATAATTTCGCAATTGCATAAATTTTATGCACAATATTTATATTAATTGGAAAAAACCCCGCTTACAAGAATCAACCATATTATTAATGAAATAATTCCACAGTATTGATTTTCAAATTTAATCTATCCTACATGTCAAAATAGTGTCTTTTTATTGGTTAATGAGTTTCTTTTTTATAAACAATATTTTGATTAAAAAGACGTAGGACTTAAATGCAATTTTTACAATTTCGCAATTGAGTAAATTTTATGCACAATATTATATTAATTGCAAAAAAACCCACTTACCATAATCATCTATATTATTATTTAATTGATTTCACATTATTGGTTTTCAAAATTTATCTCTCCTGCACGTCAAAATAGTGTCTTTTTATTGGTTAATAAGTTTCTTTTTTTATTAATAATATTTTGATTAAAAAAACGTAGGACTTAAATGCAATTTTATAATTTCGCAATTGAGTAAATTTTATGCACAATATTATATTAATTGCAAAAAAAATACGTAGGACTTTAATGCATTTTTTATAGTTTTCACATACTATTATTTTTAATTAATTTAGATAAATCCGGTAATTATATCAATTTAAATTAATTACTTTATTTGTTACCTTTATTACATTTCTTAACGCTCTTATAAATTACCATTCAACACATTTACCTTCTTCAACTTTTCCACATACCTTTTTTTATGTTTCGGGGATATGGAGAGAATTTTGGACAAAGAATTGCATATGTATCACCTACATGCAATGGTATATTTCATTATAGTCTCTTTTGTAACATAACAATGATTTATTGCTTTATTTCGAATTTGATTTGTTCATTCAATTCTATCTGCAACCTTTGAGTAAGCATTTGTTGAAACTTCTCGGTTGACAGGATTATGTGTGTTGAAATTCCCGACGAAGAAACCGACAGAAAGATGTACCAGTTGGTGGAGAAGTATATGATACATGGACCGCTCGGTCAGGCGAATTTGAAATCTCCATGTATAAAGAATCGAGTTTGCACGAAGCCATTTCCAAAGCCATTTGTGCAGCTAACTGAGTTAGATGCAGATGGTTATACTGAGTAAAAGAGAAGGGAAGATGGCAGAACAGTTATGAAGAAGAAGAAGACTACTCTTGATAATGGGTTTGTAGTTCCGTACAATCGGGTATTGTTGAGTAAATACAGAGTTCACATTAATATAGAGCTATGCAACCAAAATAAGTCAATCAAATACCTGTTGAAATACGTCAATAAGGGTCATGATCGAGTTACGACGGCATTTTATGAAACACACAATACAGATGGCGGTGCTGAGATAAAGATGTACTACGACTGCAGATATCTTTCGGCATGTGGAGGCTGTTTAATTTTGATATTTTAATTATAAAGACCCATCTGTAATTAGGCTAAACTTTCATCTCCACGATCATCAGTCGCTTGTCTTCAATGAAAACTAGTCATTACAAAGTGTTCTGGATAGGCCATCTGCCAAGCAAATGATGTTCTTAACGTGGTTTGAGGCGAACAAGAATCATCCACATGCCAGGGACTTGAGATACGAAGATTTTCCATAGCAGTTTGTGTATAAGGATGATTCTCGCACTTGGGCGCCAAGAAAAAAAGGATTTTCTATTGGTAGGATTGCGAATGTTCCCCTTCGAAAGGGGGAAGACTATTACCTTAGGTTGATACTTAACATTCAGAGAGGCTACACGTGTTACGAGGACATCAGAAAAGTTGTTGGCTACGTCTACCCTACGTTAAGGGATGTGTGTTATGTGTTGGGTTTGTTAGATGACGACAAAGAATACATAGATGCGATAAGAAAAGTGAATGCTTCGGCATCTAGGGATTGTATAAGAAGGTTATTTGCGTTTATGCTGTTTTTCAATAGCTTAAGGCGGCCTGATCATGTGTGGCAAAGCTGTTGGTCGAATTTGGCGGAGGGTATTGCTTACAAACAAGAAAAACTTCATAATAATCCAATAATCCAGGTAATATATGACAATTTTTATAGAACATTATTCAATTAGATTTTAAATATTACTCATTTTTTTAATATTGTCTCTTTAAGTTTTGAACTAAATGCACACAATGTATCAATTTTTTTGTGCAGATTTATCTGTATCAGATGAAAGCTTGATGAACTATACTTTCACTGAAAAAGAGAAAATATTGCAAAGTAATAGTAAAAGTCTACGTAATTACGCCCCCATGCCAGTTCCAATCGAATTCGCGGTGGAGGACACAGTAAACATATTGGTCTTAGATGAACTGGATTACGATCGGTTTGAAATGGGTAGAGAACTTCAACGGTGTCTTGCCTCAATAACAGATGAGCAGAGAAAGTTTTATGATGTAGTCATGGATGATGTATCCAATGACCGAGGTGGAATGTTCTTTCTATATGGTCATGGTGGAACTGGAAAGACGTTTCTCTGGAAAACTCTTTCGGCTGCCTTCCGTTCCAAGGGAGAGATTGTAATTAATGTTGCATCGAGTGGTATAGAATCTCTATTTCTCCCTAGTGGAAGAACAGTTCATTCTCTATTTCTCCACATGCAGCATAACGCAACAAAGTCCACAGGCGGAGTTGTTGATTAGGACTAAGCTTATTATATGGGACGAGGCTCCTATGATGCATATGTACTGTTTTGAAGCGCTTGACAAAACAATGAAGTCACTATTACATGTAGACATACCGTTTGGTGGTAAGGTGGTTGTTCTTGGAAGAGATTTTAGGCAGATTTTACCGGTTGTACTGAAAGCATCAAGGCAGGACATAGTACATGCTACAGTAAACTCCGCTCCGTTGTGGAATTTCTGTCGTATTATGAAGTTGAGTAAGAACATGAGATTGGGTCATGTTCTTCTCCATCTAACGTGGATGAGGTAAGAGAATTCGGAGACTGGATACTGAAGGTTGGTAATGGGGATGGTGGGGAACAAAATGATGGTGAAGCATCGCTAGAGATTCCCGATGACATGCTGATTGGTGATTCAAAAGATCCATTCAAAGACTTACTAGACTTCGTTTATCCGGATTTGTTGAGTAACATGTATGATCCAGATTATTATCAAGGGAGGACAATTCTTGCACCAACTAATGAATGCGTCGAGTCTGTGAACTATCACTTAATGTATCTCCTTCCAGGTGAGGAGAAGTTGTACCTGAGCTCAGATAGTATGTGTAGGGACGAGCAAACAACGAAGGATAATGCAGAAATCTATTCGACTGAATTCCTCAACACAATAAGATACTCCGGAGTTCCTTCTCATGTATTGAAGTTCAAGGTCGGTGCACCGGTTATGCTAATAAGAAACATCGATCAAGCTAGAATCCTGTGCAATGGGACAAGACTTCAAATTATTAGAACCGGCATTCACGTTCTGACTTGCAAATTTTTTTCCGGTAAAAATATCAGTGACATGGAGTTCATTCCTCGGATGACTTTAATACCATCTAATTCTGGACTGCCAATTAAATCCGAAGAAGATAGTTTCCGTTGATTGTTTCCTTTGCAACGACGATCAATATAAGCCAAGGCCAACACTTTTCGTATGTTGGTTTGTATCTTCCTAGGCCTGTCTTCAGGCATGGTCAACTATATGTTGTACTGTCCTGAGTTAAGAGCAGAGGTGGCATTAAGATATTCATCAAGTCGAATTCGGGTGAACTCACCAATGTTATTAGAAATGTCGTGTACAAGGAAGCATTTCATCGAGTTTGAAGGTAGAAAATATTTTCATATTTATCAGTTCTTCATGTAACATGTCTTGGTTTTTATTTTTTTTAACACCTTATTCTTTGGCAGGTCTATCTTTCCTATATGTTTTCCCCCGTGCGATATTGTTTTCAGTCATGTCCCTAGGATGCTTAGTGTAAATCTTATTATCTTTAAGGTTAATGTTTGTCAATATACTAATATTTAATATTATTATTATTATATTGTAACTATGAAGATACTCATAACATATTTTTAATATTGTTGGTCGATGACGTTTTATACTTATCCCTTTTTTGTGATTGCAATTACTGAAAACCGTTAGTGTTATTTTTCCGTGTAAATTCAATGAGCATAACAATTGATATATGCGTAAATTTGTTTTACATATATGTATTTTAAGTTGAAATAAACTGCCCCGTGCCTCGCACGGGTGAACACTAGTGACAGTAAAAAAGAGTATTTTGAATAGAAGATAGATAATAAAAAAACAATTGTCTAAAATTAACTTGCCAATATATATATATATATATATATATATATATATATATATATATATATATATATATATATATATATATATATATTTTTTTTTTTTATTTTAGAGTTCTCAGAATAAATTATCACTTACAGTCACATAATTGGTTTCAAACTAGAATGTGATTAAACACGTGCAACACATCCATTTTCTAGTATAAAAAAAAAATATACAAACCAAAAAAAATGATAATTGCCGTATATTTTTTTTTTTTGAGAGAAAAAGAGGAATATTATTAGGCTACCATAGCCAGTTCAACAGGGAGATTGGAGCCTTCCTGAATGTCAGACAAATGGAGACTCGCGAGCGAATGAGCGAGTTTATTACAGTGCCTTTTAACGAACGAAAATTTGCAAGAACTAAATGAAAGACCTAAACCCTTAATTTCTTCGACAAATGCTCCAAAAGAGTGAAGAGATTGCTCCTCCTCCTGCAGAGCAGAAATAAGTTGGAGGCAGTGGCCCTCCAAGATGATTGAGTTCCACCCATTCTTCAAAGCTTCTCGGATGGCTCGTAGGGCTGCATGTGCTTCCCCTTCCACTGGCCGGACGTTCCCCGTAATTTTAGTAACCCGCCACCATACAACAGATCCCGACGAGTCCCGAGCTACCATCGCCGCCATGAAATGAGTAGCCGCCCGAGGGAAACCGGCATCGAAATTAACTTTGATCGCTCCGTGCGGTGGTGGGAGCCAGTGCGCAGAGGGGATTCCGGTGGTTGTGACAAGAGGCGTGTTTTGGGCAGCGTTGAAAGCGTCGATATAGCTTTCACTCCATGACACTATATCCCGCGCAACTATTCATTTTTCTCCATGGGCTTCTCGATTCCGAGAGTCCCACGCCTTCCAGCAGACCACAATCGCTAGTAGCTGGGCTTCTGTAGATAGTTTTCGGCGAATAAGGTCTAAAAAACTCCGAAAGGTCTCAACTTCCAAACCAAGTCGCAGCTCGAATGGCTTAGCCATCCAAATCTCAGAAAGGCCTCTACAAGAAGCAGCCACATGCATGAGATTTTCCATCCCCATCTCACATACCTGACAGAAGGGATTGGAAGCAATATGACGTCGACATAGTTCGACTTTCGTCGGGAGAATGTCCAGAAGCGCTCTCCAAACAAAGATCCGAATTTTGTGCGGGATCTTCAAATACCATATCCAGTTCCACATTTCTTTAGGGATGTTTCCATTTGAGGGGCCAGAGCCTTGGGCCGATTGTGAATTCGTGCGGTGGGTCAAGATGTTATGATAACAAGACCTAACTGTGAAATGACCTGTTTCCGAATAATGCCATACAATTCGATCATTTGTCAACGAGCTACCAATAGGAACCGACATAATCCTTTCTCGATCAACAGGCCAAAAGGCTTCGTCAATAAGATCAGTGTTCCATGTCCGAGTCTCATCATGAATTAGATCCGAAACCTTGTTGGGGAATGACGTGTGCATTGGGCGCCGTGTCAAAATATAGAAATTACCATTATCCACAAGCCACGGATCACCCGATATAGCCGTAGATTTCCCGTTACCTATGCGTCGCCTTATTCCCCTACGGACATGCTGTCGGGCTAGGAGGATGCTTCTCCATGTGGCTGAGGGGCGGTTCCCCGCTGTGGCATTCCAGAAATCTCCCGTTGGAAAATATCTTGACCGTAGGAGCTGCGAGAGGAGTAATTCCGGATGAGTCAGAATCCTCCACGCTTGTTTAGCGAGCATCGCCAGGTTAAAAGCGCGAAGATCCCGAAAGCCCATTCCCCCGTCTTCCTTTGGTCTACAAAGGTTTCGCCAAGAGAGCCAAGATATCGATTTCTTTTTATTGTGACTCCACCAAAACCGTTGAATAGCTGACTCGATTTCTTTGGTTAAGCACTCCGGTAGGCTAAAACAGCTCATGACATACGTATATAGGGGTGACTAAAACTAATACCAATTTTTTCTTACTTCAATACCAAAAACATAAAAATTGGATAATAAATAGGTAATAAAATAAATATCCTTAATGAAAATAAATACCATACAAACATTAAAAATCTCATTTTTCTTTCTTCAATATCAAACACACAAAACCCCACAAACCCATCTTCTTCTTTACAAATCCCTCAACCTCTTTCTTCTTCTTCCTCACAACAAACCCTTCTACAAAAAAACTCAAAACTAAAGAAATTAAAATCTCACACAACTTGCAAAACCATTTAGAATTGATTGAAGGGTTCCCATCGGGTATGCTTATGCTCCAAGAGGCAGATCGCAGGAGAGCTCCGTTACACGGAAAGTCCTTTTTATCCCCTTTTTGATTCCCGGTCCAAGGTGCTATAAAATAAACAAAAAGAAATAGGCGCCAGGCGAGGTCGCCGCTATGCCCCAACAGCAAGCGGTTGGGAGGAAGAACTGCGGCCCGCTTTTCTTCTTCGATGAGAAAGCTCTGTGGAGTCAAATGACAACAAAATGATAATTTACGACCAAGGAGAACATATTATGGTAAGTATCGATGTCTTTTTTGAGCTTGGAAGTCAAATTTTGAAGTTTTCTTTTTTTGAAACCCGCCGGCAATTTTCGACACATACAGGTCGAATTTTTGGTCAATTTTCGACACCAACGTGTCAAAAATTATATTTAAAAAAAAAAGAGAAAAAAAACAAATTACGACACATACCTGTCGAAATTTCTCCAAATTCCGACAGGTATGTGTCGAAAAAACACTGTTGGTAAAAAATAAATTGTTTTTTTTTTTTTTTTTTGCATTGGTTTTTCGACGGGTTAAAAAAAACTTCAAAATCGACTTCGAAGCTAAAAAAAAGACATGGATACTTACCTTAATGGGTTCTCCTTCCATATATACTACCATATTATTGTCTGGTGACTCCATTTTATAAGTTTTGTGAGGTTTTGATTTTTTTGAATTTGGAGATTTTTTGGAGGATTTAAGAAGATGAAGAAGAAGATAGGGTTTAAGGGATTTGGGTTTGGTGAGAAGAAGAGAGAATTTGTTGTTGTTTTTTCCTTGTATTGAAATGAGGAAAAAAACTTTGTTTGTATAAATTGTATTTTGTTTGATCAATGGCATTTTAGTACTTTGCTAATAATTTTTTTTATTTATGGTATTAAACTAAGAAAAAATTGTAAAAATTTCTATAAAAAGTGGTTTTAAACTTGGTGGTACTGAAGTGGGAAAAATTTGGTATTACTTTTAGTCGCCCCCATATATATATAGGGACTAAAATGCATATAGGTCCACAAAAAAAATAGTCTTACAAATAAACCAATCTCCAAGTCATTAGTCATAAATACCTTCCATAATATATTTTTTGTCAATTCCATCCATTATACTCTAACTTCCTTAACATTACTCATTGACCCTGGATTTAAACAAATATATTACATTAACCCCCATTTTAATAATTTTTTGAATTTTTTTTTTTCAGAAAATAACATTTTTTCTGAATTTTTTTTTTTTGCCAGATTCCGGCGTTGACCTTTTTTTTTAAATTTTTTTTTCCTGAAATTTTTTGCTGGCCGGTCAACCACCGTTGACCGCCGCCAGTCTTCGGCTATGATTTTTTTTTGTAAAATTTTGTTTTTTCTTAGAAAAAAATATTTTAATTAATATTACTGTCTTAGCTGTTAAATTACTGTCTTTAACTGTAATATTACTGTTAGGGACAGTAATATTATGAATATTATTTTTCCGAACAGTAATATTACTAATATTACTGTTAGAAGCAGTAATATTATTTCATAAGACATTAATATTACAGTCTGAGACAGTAATATAGCAGTCGAAGACATCAAAAATGCAGGTCAAGACGATAAAATTAATTAATACAGTAATATTACTGTCTCAGACAGTTAAATTACTGTTGGAGACAGTAATTTAGCAGCCAAGACAGTAATATTAATTAATTTTTTTTAAGAAAAAAAAAATACAAAAAAAGAAAAAAAAAAAAAGTTACAGTTAAATAACTGCTGGAGACAGTTATTTAGCAGCCAAGACAGTAATATTAATTAAAAAACAAATTAACAAACAAAAAGAAGTCAATTAACATTAAATTACTGTCTCCGACAGTTAAATAAATGCTGGAGACAGTAATTTAGCAGCCAAGAAAGTAATATTAATTAAAATATTTTTTTAAGAAAAAACAATATTTAAAAAAAAAAATCAACGTCGGAGACCCGACGGTCAACAGCGGTTGACCTACCGGAAAAAAAAAAAAAAAAAAGTCGACGGCGGTTGACTGGCGTCTCTGGTGGTGGCGGGTCAAAATTGGGGTCAACATTGGTTAATTGATGAAATTGGGCTAAACTGGGTGTAAATCATGAAATTGGAGTTGAATTGAGTTTCAAGAAATTGGGGGTAATTTTGGTATATATAAAAGGGTTTTCATTATTTGCAAATAAGTTTGAATGAGTTGAAATATTTGAAAGACAAAAAAGTTGGATATCCCTTTTTTTTGATTAAGTGCTCCCTTTTTTTTGATTAAGTGCCCTTGTCATGGGAGATTAACCTTTTATATATATATATATATAGAATAGAGAAGAGCAAGTCTACTTTTGTTTATGTGGCTATTATTCCACTTATTTTCCTATTATTAATCCCTTTATTTAGCATCTTTAATGCATTTTTGTGAATAACTCACTTGCTTATGCATGTATAAATGCATCAACTTGACGTTGAATAAAGTATATCAGACTTCTACTTTTGTCAAATTATCTTATCAATATTCTAACTATATTGTAATAGTAGCATGGCGAGGATGAATACGCTGGCGGTGATGATGGTGGTGTTCCTAATTGTGGTGGCTGGTTTAATTTCACCCTTGGTGGCACAAAAATACATAGAGTATCCAGCTATGGCAAAAGGCCGTATTCCAAAGCAAAAGTCGCCGCCACGTGCGGCGAACCCATACCACCGATCGTGTGAGACGACCTTGCAATGCCGCCAGGAGGCATCAACTCTGCCTTGATGAAGCTCCAGCGTAAAATAGAACCACCACCAAAAATTAGTTTTATACATATATATTTAGTTGAAGTTAGTAGTTAGGGTAGTTAGTTTTATCTTTCAAGATCAGATCGATCAGTTTGTATTCTTGTTTGTTAGTCTTGATATTCTACAAATTATTTATTTGGGAAAAATACTAAAAAAAATCATTATTTGAAAATCTCGTAGGCGAAAAGTCCCGAAAAATATTATTTCAAAAAAGCCCCGAAATTAAAAAAATAATAATTAACAATCCAAATAGACAACTTTCAATCCTAGTAAATTTTATTTAGGGCGCTTTTGGTTTACAAGATGGGATTGAAGCCCAACATCAATCAAGGCCTCGATTGCACTATTTGGATATTTTAAATATATGAAAATCGCTTTTGGTTCTTGAGCTTGATGCACAAGTACTAAGTCCAGCTCTAGTTTGGTACACAAGATCCGCTTGGATTGAGATATGAATTGTCAAATTTGCCCGTAAAAGTTTTTTTAAGTTGAATTGTTTCGGTCTTTATGCATCACTGTTGGTGAAATTTTTTTCCCAAATAACAATCCTAACCCCCTGCGTATTAGCATTTGTTCTATTTTTTTTTCAATATCACAGACTTATCGATCGATCCATCGATTTGGATATTGTAGCCATATCAAA